TTAAAACCATATGCCTCCTCTTTTTAAGGCATCTTTTTTATTGTATTTACTTTCTGCATTGTTCTCTTACGATCTCCTCCCTTCTGTGTGGATCCCTGTTAATTTTCTGTCTATATTTCCGTGTCCTCTCTCTTCCACTAATTTCTCTCCCTCAATTCTTTCTGTCTCAAAAACATAGCATCACATTTTATACTTATTTTCATGACACTTTATAACAGTACAAGTTTTCTGTTAAAACATCAGAAAATAATTTAATGTAATTATTGCATCTAAGAACACTGAAAATGATCAAAAAATAATAAAAAGGAGTTAAATAAATCTTATTTAATTATTTAAAATGCTTCTTAAAGAGATCTTGTCCTGTGGTGTGACAGTACAGGCGTCACACCGGAGGACATTTTCTGTCACACCAAAGCACGTTTCAGCCTTTTTCTGTCAATTAATGACCTTGCTATTCTGAGCTAACCTGTCATTAGCTGTTTGCAAAACACATCTGCATCATTTTCCATGATTATGTAGTAGTCATGGAAATTTAGATTCTTTCAAGAGATTCGTTCATTTTCAGTTCGTTCACCAAAATGATTCGTTCAGATTCGTTCACTGATTCGTTCAGTGACCATTTCTTCATATTACATAAATACGAGAGTAGGTGGCAAAAAATAGTGTCTTATGTGTTGTGTCTTAAGTCAACGAACGAACGTATTCACTTGTTACCAAAACTGATTTGGCTTTATTAAAATGTGTACATAATCAGCACAAGGTTTTCTTGCATAATTAACATTTTAATTGTTTGGTCAGACAATTACACATTCATAAATCGGGGATTAAATGTGGAGTTATGTTCTGTATGCTAAATATGAATATATAAACAAGCGTATGTGCACAGTACCTATAACTGCGCTTTGCATCTGCTTTCTGCTGATCGAGACTGACATGCTAAATGGCCGACTGACCAGGTACACACTCATTCATTTCGTTCACGAACGAGAAGATCTCTCGATCTCGTTCAGACTCAAAATAAACTCGTTCAGTGAAGGGCGTATTCGTTCACTACATTCAACAAATCACATGCTCCGTCACATCTCATACTCGAAGGCTATTGGCTCGAGGTTTACTCATTCTTTGACAGGATGAAACCGTCCACACAGAGCTACCCGGTTCACCGAGCTGCGCATGCGCTGCCAATAGCGCCGCGCTGCTGTGGAGGGTGGAATTTCAGTGAACGAGAAATATGAGTCAATGGATTACGTGAACGAGAACGATTCGTTCACCTAAAAGATTCGTTCAAAAAGAACGATTCGTTCACGAACGAAACATCACTATTATGTAGTTTAACATACATTTTTAAATTAAAAAATATATATAATTTAGGGGTGTCACACCAAAGGACAACAAAACGTAACACTTTTGTAGTGGTTCCAAAAAAGTTAAATATTCAAACAATTCTGAGAGAAAAATTTACCGTGTGCGTTGACAGGGGGCTTCAGTAACATGATCATGAATGGGGTCCTTCAGCTAATTAAAGTTTTCTCTGGAATTGGCCGATTTAAGATCAGGAAATTGTGTCACACCATAGGACATGGTTTTCAGAGACAAAATGTATTAAGTTCCTATACTTTCAGAAATATATAGTTGAAAAAAATGATTGCCATTTACTAAAATAGACACTTGTACAATTATGCCGGGTGTATTTATTAACATTTTTATGCTTTTCTTTTTAATTTATAAAAGTTGTAATTTACTGAACCATGCTTGGGACAGTCACACCATAGGACAATTTTGACATTTGGCTCAAAAATAAAAACAAATCTAATAACACTGCAGCTTTTATAACAACATTTTACATAACGACAATATTAATTATATTCGTTTTTATCCTGTGGGACACTGAAAATGCCATGTCACGTCAACAACCCATATATATACTGTATATATAAAAAACGTTTTTTTAATCTATCTTTAGATTAAAGAGAAAGAGAAGATGAACTGAAGATTTTGCTGCTGGGAAAAAAGGTTGGGAAAAGTGCAACTGGAAACACCATCTTAGGAAGAGAAGTGTTTATATCAGACTTTTCTGAAGAGTCTGTTACTAAAGTGTGTCAGAATACAGGAGTGAACACCCTCAGTTGAAGCGGTAATAATAATATTGGCGAAACAGATTTGGCAAACTATCCAGTGTGTATTTGTTTTTGCGCTCAGGAGAGCGTAACAGGTTTCAATTTACAACATGTTTTTACAGCGTTGAGTAATGTAGCCAATCACAGACATGTCTGTTGATTTATTGAACGCAATGACCAATGAGAGGCGTTTAAGTTAGAATCCACTCGACGCTTAAAATGCCGGAGTTCTTGTCCATTGCTCAGTTCTGCAAGCTTGAGAACCATCTTATTATAACGATGTAAGTAAAAGATTAATTGTGCAGTATAGAGAGATTCATTGATTATAACGGAACTTTGTGAGATCGTGGTCAGCTAAGACGTGTGACAGCTTTTTTAGGGAGCGTATTTTGCACGCTTTATGAATGTAATGTATGAAATCCATTCAGTATTTGTATAAAACTTTTGTTTTTCACGTACATGCTGCAAAATTCTCTTGCAGGAGATATAATTCCCTTCCTAAATGATAAAATCAGCTATATTGTTACATGAATAGTTATAAGAAAAGTTATTTTTTCTTGCAGAAAAGAAAAAATTTTATTCAGATTTATCTGTAAAGCGCTTTTCACAATTGAAATTATATATAGAACTGTAATGCGGTCAACAGACCTGGGCTGGAACAGCCTAGAAGTCATGCAGTAGACTACCTGAAAAATAATCTGTCAACCAATTACTAAATTACTATATAAATTACTAATTAAAAAAATAAATACAATATATATATATATATATATATATATGTGTACTTATTGTATTCGTCAGAACCAGTGGTTCTTAAACGTTTTACAGTGGCATACCCCCTCTCTTCCACTTAGACCACTTAGACCGTAGTCACACCATATGCATTAAGGGACAATATTTGCCCCCTTAAATTCATTTACAGGTGCATTTTTACCTTAGAGGCAAATTTTTTCTAGCCTTATTGATTGTATGCCACATTTGATGACATTCTTAAAATCCTCCAATAAGAAAATTAGTAATATAATAAAGCAATAAATGGTAACAATCTCATGAACATGCATTTCAATGGCACGGTTTTCTATTTGGCATAATATTTATATGCAGAAATTGGCTTTGGCGTGCATATGATAAGCAATGGTTAGGTTTAGGGGTGTGGGGTAGGAGCTGTATATGCACGCCAACACAGTGCATATCATATGCAAGCCAAAGTCAGTTTCTGCGTATAAATAGCACGCAAAAAAAACAAAAACAAATTGTGAGCATTGATACGCATTTTCATGGGACCGGGCTTAAAAGGGTCATATGACGTTGCTAAAAAGAACATTATTTTGTGTATTTGGTGTAATGAAATGTGTTTATGCGGTTTAAGGTTAAAAAAAAACATTATTTTCCACATACTGTACATTATTGTTTCCCTTTCAAGGGAACTTCGAACTGCGTCCTCTAGGGGTCGCTATGGGGAACGCCTCGTCGTGACCCGTGTCTGAAGCATACATTGAAAAAACACCAACAACACGTTGGCCGGCGACAGCCCATGACGTCACTACCGGTGCGACTATAGTATAAATAGGCGTCGGGAGAACATGTCATTCTCTTCTTCGTTTTCACTGACCGTTTTGTTTGAAGCGTGCATTTCCGACGAAGAAGAGAATGATATGTTCTCTTCTCGCTCGAGGAAAGGGGGGCAGCCATCTGCTTCCCGCGGCTCAGGACCCACCGCTGCTGAGGAACGGAGGAGGATGGGCTCGTGGGGATCGCAGGTGGATCCGACTGATGAGTTTAAAAAGGGGTTTTCCCTCTCACGCTCGTCGGCTGTGGACGAGAGTAAGCTCAAATATCTTCTTTATGCACCAAGAGCTTGTAACACTCCAAAGAGAAAGGAAAAATTGAAATTGCATCATATGACCCCTTTAAATGATGGCAAAACGAAGTGGTACTTGTAGATATTAAACTGAAACCACCATTAGGTGGCGGCAAGTCACTGTCTTAATGAACGAGGCGTTGCTCATTCATTCATTCATTCAATGAAGCAAATGGCTGTATTTATGAATGGGTTATTAATCACTGACTCTCCGAAACGTTCAAAGCTGCATATTCGTTCATTAACGGAACACCGCTGTATGTTGCCTGGAGACGCACACCAGTTCTGTTGCTGATTTCGTTGGAACTATTATTATTTCGTTGCAAAATATAACAAACAATATTGACAATATTGTGTTTAAAATGTAGGCTACATTTTAAATGTAAAATGTTCACTTAATATTACGATTTTTTTTCAACTATTGTATAGCATCAATATTTGCAATCGTTTGGATATCCAGGAAAAATTGCATTCTCATGCTCATATTTTAAACATTTAAAGATACATTGAACAGCAGTTCGATTTGCTAAAGCAGAATAGCCTACTCAGCGGGCATCCTATCATATTCACGCTGCTTGTATGAATGCAGTCAGTTTTGTCCGCAAAAGATGAGGTAATTTGATTGGATGTCACGCATTTGACCGTTTACGGTACTCCCATGTTCCTGTTTTTATACTAGAAGCGGCATTTTGCATGCAACTTTAATGTTAGACTACTTTAAGTTGGGGTAGAATTAAATAAATGTCAAAACTGAGCATTTTTGTTCGCGTACCATCTTCGGCACCTCACGAACTCCAGTTTGAGAACCACTGTTCAAAACAGTTAAAGAAGAAACTGCATCTTTCGTATTTCACTTCTGGTTTAAAAGAGGGAAAAAAATAATGGACGACACGGACAGAACTGGTATACATAATTTCAAGTTTCATTCTTAATTCACTCAAATAAATATAAAATCTTTTTTTTTCTCTTTTTTCTCTTTTTTTTTTTTGCAGGCGGGGCACTGATGAGGGTCTCTCTTCTTTGAGCGTTTTTCTTTCGATTTTGATTTCAAGGTGTAGGTGTTGAAATGGCGTCAGGTTCAGGTAAGAATCAAATTATATACAAAAATATGCAGCAACTTTTCCTCAATGATTTATGAAGTATCTATGAAACATTAGCCAACAGTAGGCAATGGTTTACTTGGTTTTATTAAAATGATTTTTCACTGCCGTTCCTTCTTTGTGTTCAGTGCCACTTTTTTTTTTTTTTTTTAACACAAAGAAGAAACGGCAAATACTGCGTCTCACATACTTGTGTGTATATATGGTGAAATTGCCTGGAGGAATTAGGTCTCCTAGTTTTTGTGACCATGTAAAAATGTCTTCTTATAGCACTACGAAAAAAAAGCCCCCTCGGCTGAAATCGCGGTCCGATTAAAGGGGCAAGGGCTCGAGGCAGTTCTCGCCTTTCATTGTTTTTCTTTTTGATTTTGATTTCAATCAAAGAAGCATTATGCAGCAACGTCTCCTCAGTGATTTATGAAGTATTGATGAAATATTAGCCAACAGTAGGCAACGGTCTACTTCGTTTAGTTTATTAAATGATTGTTTCACTGCACTCTTGAACACCAGAAACATGACCTGTAAAAGGCTAGATCTCACAAACATTTTTAAACAAACTAAATCAGATATCGGTTATCTAGACCAACGTTATTATTTTAATTTATATTTATTTTAATGTCTTTTTCAAAATTGTTACATTTCAGTTTATTAGCTTTTGTTTAGTTTTTATTTTTGCAAACACATTTCTATTTCGTTTTTATATATTTTATTTTGAGTTTCAATTTTAGTAATTGATGTTAATCAGTACAAACGCAGCAGACCAATGCAAGACTTATAGTGACGCAAACGTATCAACACAAGCTCACTCCTTGATCGGGATATCTTTTGTAGTTTACTTCACAATGTGTTGTGTTCCTCTGCAACGCCATACTGTCCCTCTCTGTAAAAACGATAAAACTGATTTTGAAAACTAGGCCACTGAATGGAAAAAAAAACAAAAAAACCCTGGTTTGCGGTGCGTATGTTTTCCGTGCCCATCAGCAGGTTCGAGCATTCACTCTGCAGGCGGATGCGGTTTGGCAAAGCGTTGGTGCAGATGCAGCAGTGCAGCGAGTCTCCACGCGCCGAATATAATGCAAATATAGTCATTTCACCATAAATGTGCATATAAAGTCTACTGCGTTTCACAGTATGTTTACTGTGTTTAAAGCCAGGAAAAGTACACAAGTTAACTTAAATGCAAAAGAAATGGCACGAGAGTCGGCTGTTTCTGTCAGTGATTTTCATTTAAAATGTTTGTGATAGCCATACTATCTTTTAACATAAGAAAAGTAGGCTATAGTGTATGTTCAAATGTTTTGCTACTTGATTTAACAACTTAATGCATTGAATAATTTAAAATAAGGGATAAATGTTGTGTTTGTGTGGTAAACGCGTCGTATGTGAAGTCACAGTGAGCTCTTGCTGCTTCTGCACCGCAGACCGCACACGGACTGCAGGTGCTCTTCAAACACTGCACAATCTCCAGCAAAGCCCCGTGTGGAGGCGTGTATTGTGCTGCGTCCCAGTTTGCCTACTTATAGGCTACTACGCCGTTAAAGTATGCACATTTTTATGAAGAAAAAGTACACACTTTTGAGTGTGTAGAAGAAGAATAGATCATGTCATAGAATTGCGTCTTTAACGGACCGCGCATCATGTCACTGTACACCGGCCTGTCAGTCATCTTCTCACAGTTAACATCCTCTACATTTCATTGAATTTAACTTACCTTATTGGAGAGAAAAGATGTAGCACGGTTATCTGCTAGCCGTCGTTCAAACATTAAATATTTATTTATTTATTTAACCATGTTAAAACATTATTGTTAGTAACTCAAACGCCTTCATCTAAATCTCTCTACTGAACCGTCGCGCTCATCCGCCATGTTTGTAGTTTTTAACACTTTTTATTCGTGTTTGTAGTTCTGAACCGAATGCTTCTCCAAAGCGCAATGGTTTGTGGGTAGTATTAGCCATAGAGTGTGCACGGATCCATACCATCCAGGGACATTTGGCATACTCTTTTGAGCTATGCTTTGGGACACACTTATTTTAATCTCACTATTTAGGATGGATATCATATTATTGATATTCATACTGCCATGTAATGCCACAGGTTAATGGGTAAATACATTCAGAGGAGAGAGTTAACACACAGACACATACACACACAAACACACACACAAAAGTATGAATATTAATATGATGTAATAGAAGAATAATGTACTCAAATATGAATTGCATATGGAATATTATTTTCCTGAGATAACTTGTATCCTTCATATTACGTCTATGACCGACTATTTAAAAATGTAATTGAATAAGTCTGAATGAAAGCTTACTTGTTTGATTCCGACACGCAAAGTGAATCCCGCACGTGATTGGACAGAAAGTGAATCCCGCACGTGATTGGACAGAAAGTGACTCTGTGAAACCAATACACGCCTTTGCTGGAGATTGTGTAGCGTTCTCGACGCGCTTCGAAGCTTCAGTGTCATACATATATTTAAGTTGTGAAAATTTCAAAAGGAAACATTTCACAGACAATTTCATTATAAAAAAAATCTGTCATCAATGTTGACCAGTTACATTTACATTCTCATTTACATTTAGTCATTTAGGCGCTTTTATCCAAAGCGACTTACAAATGGCTTAGTTCATTTCCAAAATATTCAGTTTGATTAAAAATTCCACCTACAATATTCAACAGTCCGGCCGAGATGGACACCTCAGCTGAGGAGGGCAGAGAGGCCGGGGAAATCTAAATAAAGCAAAGCAAAGCAAAGCAATGGAGAGCAAAATTAACATTTTCCTCAGATGTTCTGTACTTTTGTGTCATAATCAGCATGTATATACTGGCCCTAATAACCATATAACTACTTGGTTCATTTTGGTAAGTTTTTTCATTTTGGTTTTTGTGAATGACTCCGTTTACTTGTGCTTTACCTTTCGTCAACATCCTCTTGCACCATCTGCTGGTGAGCGACTAACAGCAGATGGTGATCAGCATCGGCACACTACTGCTATACCTGCAGTTCCCAGATTTGTAAAGCTGAATATTCAACTGAATTTGAACCACTGAATTTTTTTAAGTGAATTTATAAAACAAAATCAAATGGTCCAAATTTTGACCATTAAATATTGTAGGTGGTGTTTTTAAATAAACAAAATATCTTGGAAATGGACTTTGGAGTAATCTAATAATAATAATAATTTAATAATGTAAACTTCTGTGCAATCTTTACTTTTTGCAGCTTCAATATACAACCATGTTGCAGCATGTTTTACAGCCCCCCAAAATGCAAGCCTTGAAAATACAATGCATTAAAATGCAAAAACTGCCATTTTTTTCAATGAATGCAGTTCAATATGCTGCAGATTTTTTGCTTCAAATACATATGTTATTATCATACTTTCATAGAGTATTACACTCAAATAAAAATTATTTGAATTTCACATCCCAATTTGAGCCAAATGCATTTAAAAGTATTTTTCAAATATTTATGATTCACAGTGAACATGTACAATGCAACGTAAATTAAAACAGAGCTAAACTTCCTAGTTACTTGCTGGTAAGAAAAGAGAGAGAGAGTGCGTCCACTTCTGTTGCATGATCTTGAGTGCTCTTCGCTCACTTAGCATATGCATCATTTGGATTAAAACAAAGTCGTAAATATAAAACAAACAAAAATTACAGGGGCATTCACTGTCAACAACATTTATTTTAAACGACAAGCATACACAACTTTATTTAAATGTGTGCACGTGTTGCGTATGTTTTGCTTGCTTGACATTAATTGCATTATGAGCCAACTAACATAATTCATATTTTTTTTGTTTCTGTACCCAATATTTAAAAAAGTTACAACTGCTATGAAAATATCAGTATTGGTATCGACATGTACCAAAAATGAAAGCATTGGTATTGGACTCACTTTGGAAAAAGTGGTAGTGTTGCATCCCTAATAAATAGAAATAAGTAGATAAAATAGAAAGTGCCAGTATTATGGAATCAAGTGTCTTTGGTCATTTCTCTGCTCAGGTTGAGTTAGATGATCTTTGGCTTGTTGAAGACCACTCTCACTGCCGCATTCTGGATCAGTTGCAGAGGTTTGATAATACTGTACATGCTGGAATACCCGCCAAGAGAGCATTACATTAGTCTAGCCTGGACAGAACAAGAGCTTGAAAAAGGAGTTGTGTAGTATGTTCCGATAGAAGGGGCCTGATCTTTCTAATGTTGTACAAACAAATCTGCAGGACCGGGCAGTTTTAGCAATGTGGGCTGTGAAGCTCCTTCCAGGTTCCTGGATGTCCTGGAAGGAGTTATGGCTGATGTACCTAGCTGGATGGTGAAATTGTGATGAAGTGTTGGGTTGGCCAAAACCACAATCAGTTCTGTCTTGGCAATGCTGAGTTGAAGGTGATGGTCCTTCAGCAAGAAATGTCTGTTAGACATGCTGAGATGTAAGCAGCTACTGTCGTATCATCTGGCTGGAATGAGAGGTAGAGTTGTATGTCATCAGCTTGTAGCAGTGATAGGAAAAGCCATGTTTCTGAATGACATCTTAGTTATGACAGGTGGATTGTAGTGTTGTATGATATACTGGTGCTAAAAAAGTATTGCAATACCTTATATTAGTACTGGTACTTTAAAAATTACAGCATTTTAATAAAAGCTGTATTTTTAATCAATTCAGAATTATTCAGTTCTGTTTCTCATTTTTCTTATTGTGCTTGAACAATGAAATACACACAACATTATGTCCGTCTTGATGAGAATTCTTGTAAACACAGTCGGTAATGTCTTAAGTGAACATAAACAATTGAGAAGAATTTGGATGTTTATCATTATTTTGAGTCCGGGCAGCTCTTAAAGTGATAGCAGTCTAGTATCCCTGCAACCATCGGTATCATTTGATGTTAATCAAACAACAAAGGAAAAGAGAAAATCACTCACTGCTCTTTCTAAATCACTTCATAGCTTTAAAAATAATCAGT